TGTGAGCTAAGATTTTGTCCATATTTTGACATGATAAACAACCTATTAAAATGTAAGTTTATTTCTTTAAAGTAAGATCCTTATTGCCTAATAATTCTTACTGTTTAAGACAAAGATTAGTTTTGGTAAATAAATTCACATTGTTGATTAAACATTAAGTATATTGAACTACTAACTTAAATCCGATTTTAACAATTGTCCTTAGAGACTAAAATCAATTGATTCTAAGACACTGAGATACTAATTTTTACATATTTTGTTTGTTAGATAATCATAAAATTAAAAAAAAAAAAAAACCAAACACAACATTTTATTAAGATTAAGGTTCTCCAAATTAAAGTTATATATTAATTTTAAACAATAAAGGTTACAAACTTAAAAAAAAATTCATTGATATTATATAAGTTCTCTGACTAGATCTATTGTCCATAAAAAATACAGTAAGATTTATATACTGCTCCCTACACAGGAAATAACCTTAATCATATTTTTTAAAGACAATTAAGAGATACCTATTTAAAGGATAATATTCTAAAATACAGAGATTTTGGGATCGCCTTAACCATGCATTATTTGCCCTTAATTTTCTTACCCTAGACAGTGAAGGCCATTCGGCCGCAGACAGACACTGGCATCCCTTGTCCAATTCCGTTCGCCCACCTGTTATGTGGCGCGATCCCCTTACAAATAAATGGAAAGGCCCAGATCCTGTCCTCATCTGGGGACGAGGCTCAGCTTGTGTTTTGGACCAAGAGCAAGCAGCCCCAAGATGGTTACCAGAACGCCTGGTTAAACAGGTTAATGACTTACCTCAACCCAGGGACGGAGGCCCTCCCCCTGAGGACAAATTTTCCTCTTTTGCAGATGCAGCCAACGATCTGTGTGAGGATCCTGCTTAAGGCACTTCTGCTGAACAGGTTTGTATACGGAGGCCTTAGTCCTCCACCTTCCAACATCAGGGAGTACCTTTTTGGCCCCCCCTGCGAATGCAGGGGAGGATCTTGGACTCAGGCTCCCACTAGTTGGACCCAGATTGCTGACTGCGTGACTAAGGTGGCTTACCTCCATGCCGAGGTTGAGTTCATCAGCCTAAATGGGTATGTGTTAACAAGCCAAAGATTATTCCCCCCAGTACAAGTAAAGCTCTCCAAAATTGTTCTGCAACTTGTACGCATACCCAGGCTATGCATGTCTCTTGTTATGCGTCAGCCTCAATTTGTGTTAACAAGCAGGGAGAACAATTTTTTGAAGCCACCCTAACTAAAACTCATGCAGCAGAGGGGACCACTATTCATTATACCCCCCTCCTCTTTGACCGGGGAGGAGAAGGCATATATACCAAGTTACAGTCAGCTGGGTGCCAAGGCACTGTTGGTAAACCCTCCTGCTGGCCCATTAAGGCCCCTACAGGGGTCTCTGATGGTGGAGGACCCACTGATGCTGTCAAGCATCTTCAGATAATCAAACTTTTGAAACCCCAAATCCCTGAGCTCACATATCATCCCTTAATGCTGC